AGAACAAGGCTTCTTATGCAAAAACATCACAATTTATGGATTAAATTTTTCCTTTTTTTGCTATCATGAGCAATGTGGTCCTGAACCTTCTTATCTTTCTCCAGCTACAAATGTGCGAAATGTCTTTGGGGTACCAGTATCATACTGGAATGCAGGTCTATAGCAATGAACATTTTCAGTAGTGAATCCCATACCACATTGTTTCTGTATTAAGAAATGATTAATACTTCTGCTTGATAGACATCAATGCCCTCAAATAGCATCCTGAAAAATAATTTTTCCAATCGCCTCATACACAATGGTACCTTAATGAGGTTTTACATCATTCCCTGCTTAGATTGAGGCTGATATCCTTGAATATGGTTATTAATTTATTTGAACTTATTTACTCTGAAATTCCTGTTTACCTAATTTGTCTATTTTTAAATTTTGTGTGGTTGTCTATGTCTGATTCATGAAGTAGCTAGCCTCCCAAGGGAATCCAAGGCAATGAAGCAGTTATACCCAGTTCACCTCTAATTTGGAGCTAGGGACAAGGGTTTGCCCCTGGGTTGTCTCTGTGTTGTTTTTTTTTAAGTTAGAAATCACACTAATTTCTCAGGAGCTGTGAACAAATGTGAACCCACATATCTACTTTGTTCCTTCTGAACCGATGGCTTCTGTGTCATGTGGAACTTTGAGATGCATAGACACCACACATTTTTTTGCATTGTGCTTTGTAGCAGAAGGAATGTGTGCTTATCATCCAAAGGGTCCATATCAGAGCAGGGTAACATTGACATTCAGCGATATAATTTATGTGTTTCTTCGTGTGTGTGTGTGTGTGTGTGTGTGTGTGTGTATGTGTGTGTGTGTGTGAACGTGCATGCACACATGTGTGCTTGTGTGTGTTCTACTGATCCTTAGGTCCTACCCTTCCCTACACCAAAGTATATTGGACAACCATGGTCAGTAATTTATCTTAATCTAAGTACCTATCAAATTTTGATGCAGGAGGGCAAAACCAAATTTCTATAAAGAATAACCTATTTCAAATTGAACCTATACAGGTTTTTTTAGAGAGGTAGAAAAAGATACCTTATTTTCCTTATGTTAATCCCCATTAAGTCTGTTAAGTGTTGTTCAAAATTTTATCTCAAATTTATCTTGATGCAAATCAGGTAAAAACAGGTATCATTTTATATCTAGATGTGTGTGGTAACATATTTAGACCTCTTCTCATGCCCTAGCTTTGCTATAATCTGATGTCTGCCTAGTAGTCAGTAGCCTTTTCAAGTTGTAAGCAACCTCTTTAAACTTTTCTTGGGCCTACTCTTGTTTTATGAATAGATGGAGACTTCTTCTTTATTAATTTTATTGAGAAACAAATATCAATGAGACAATTTCAAAACCGATTAGTAGGACAGTTTCAATAATTAATGCATTGCATATTCTTGTCATCATAGTAGTTATTAGTAGTACAAGATGCAGACATGATATCCTGTCCAAACACTATTAATACAAATCTTCCTTCTCATTGAATTAAGAGAAAGTAGCTGTATATCTATTCTAACTATTTTGTATATACAGATACAAAATAGTCCTTCATTTGTATCCCTTTTTTGTTTAGTTTTGTCAGAGATGGGTATTCCCTTGCCATTCAAATATTGTAGGTGCATGAATTCAGCAAAATCATCCAATATAGTCCAGTAGTCCATAATAGTAGTGGGTTATCCATAGGACTGCAATGTCAGAAGTTGTTGACTTGAAACTTCTTACTATAGCAGAAAAAATCTTGGATAAACTGTGTCCTTGATAATTCTCTAAACCCATATATTACTCCAGTTGGACATGGACTGGAATTGTCTCTACCCATCAGATGTTTTAAAACTGCCTCCTCCAACCACTTCAACACAATGAATATTTTTATAATCTTCATATACTATAAAACATTCTTCTATTAAGAATTTCTTTCAAAAATTTTATGAGAATAGGTTTCCTCATTATGTTGGAATTTTGTAATTTGATAATCTATCAAAGACATGAATTTACAGTTCTTCAAATTCACCCTCAATAATTTTTCAAATGTGTATGACAGCAATGTGTGTGTGTAAGATGACATAAGAACAATATTAGAAACAAAACCTACTGTAGGTTTTTTGTCCTGTAGACCTCTAATTACCATTTTCATTGTGGTAGCCAGATTATTACTAACATAATATTAAATTACACAAATAAATGTAAAATTCTTCTTGAGAAATGGTGTTACATTAACAGAATTTTTAATGTAATAGCCTGACTTCCCTTACACATGGCCATCTTTTTCTTAATTTCCAGCAAGAGAGTGGAAGAGCATGAAGAGTCATAACCACAGCAGTGCATCTGAATTCATCCTCTTGGGGCTCCCCATCCGGGTGGACCAGCAAGGCATGTACTACACGCTCTTCCTGGTCATGTACCTGACCACGGTGCTGGGGAACCTGCTCATCATCCTGCTCATCAGGCTGGACTCCCGCCTCCACACGCCCATGTACTTCTTCCTCAGCCACTTGGCACTCACCGACATCTCTTTCTCATCAGTCACAGCCCCAAAGATGCTCATGAATATGCTGATGCATAATCAATCCATCTCTTATGCTGGGTGTGTTTCTCAAGTATATTTTTTCTTGTTGTTTGGTGATCTTGACAGTTTCCTTCTCACCTCAATGGCCTATGACAGGTATGTGGCCATCTGCCATCCTTTGTACTATACCACTATCATGAGTCCAAACCTCTGTTTGCTGCTAGTAATTGTGTCTTGGGTCTTGTCCTCTGCTAGTGCCCTGGTGCATACCCTTCTCCTAGCCCATCTGTCTTTCTGTGATGACAACACTCTGCCACATTTCTTCTGTGATCTTTCTGCCTTACTGAAACTGTCCAGCTCAGACACCACTATTAATGAGTTGGTCATTCTCACTGTTGGAGTGGTAGTCATTACTCTCCCATTCATATGCATTCTGGTGTCTTATGGCCACATTGGGGCCACTATACTGAAGGCTCCTTCAATCAAGAGAATATGCAAAGCCTTGTCCACATGTGGCTCTCACCTCTCTGTGGTTACTCTGTACTATGGAGCAATTATTGGGCTCTACTTTTTCCCCTCCTCTAATAACACAAAGGAGAAGGAAGTTATTGTGGCTGTGTTGTATACTCTGATCACTCCCATGTTAAATCCCTTTATCTACAGTCTAAGAAATCAGGATATGAAAGGAGCTCTTGGAAATATCCTCAGTAAAAGAATATTTTCAGTGAGATGAACATTGTTCCTTATTAACTGGACATGAAGAATTCTCAGTTCTTCCCATGCATTCCCTCTTCTCTCTACACTACTTTTCTTTTTTAAAGAGGACTTAATATGGCACTCTTTTTCTTGACCTGTGTTTCACCTGGGATGTAATTTTATCTTTATTGAAACTTATTACTGCTAGTCTGAAGAATTGTAGGAAATGTTTTATAAATCTCAATGCATAGCCTTACTTTTCACATAGTATTTATTTTCGTACAAGTACTTTTATTTATTTTTTTATTTTTTAATGTATTTTAATACAGTGTCTATAGAGTCTCACTACACAGATCAGACTCATAGTGATCTTCCTATTCTCAGCCTCCTAGGCTCTAGGACTATAGGTATGCACCACCATGCCCAGTCTTCCTATAAATACTTTTAATTTTTCTAATCATAGACTTTAGTTTTCAAATTGAATAGGTCATAGACTTACCAAAAAGCTTTTTTCCTTTCTCAGGACAAAAATATTTCTTCTTGTCACTTCTTTCTACTTTATATTTAATTTTGTAATGCACTTGCAATTTATTTTGTGACAAACCTTGTAAGAATGCAACTTTTACTCTTTTGCTATTCCTTTTTAATTATTCTTATTCTTTTACTTACACATAAAATTTACAAATTTTTGTGAGCACCATGTCATGTTTCCATACAAGAGAAACTGTAACATTTAACCTCCTGCATCTGATTTATTTCACTTAACACCATAGTATCAAGATTTATCAACTTTCCTACAAATGACTCAAGTTTACTCTTCCTTATGTTTAAATAACGCTATATTGTGTATCCATACCACATTTTCTCTATCACCCCTGGCCTAATTCGTACTGTGTAATGAGAAACTGAGCTAGATGTCACCAGGAGTTAGAAGAGTAGAATGTTACTAATATATATTCTTTACCACACATGAACAGGACTTAGCTGCTAAGATTTCCATCACCTGATGGAATTTTGCACAGGTGTTGGCTATTAAATTGTACATTTTGCAAAATTGTTTAAATCAAATATATCTGCATTATAAAAAGGTAAAACGGACTCCTTTTTACTGTGTCCCTAATGATGATATGAACATTTTCTTGTAAAAATTTAAGCCTTTGCCTTCAGTCTTTGAAAGACTTTTAAATATATGGAGTTGATTATTTCAATGAGCTGAGAGTAGAAATGTGTTTTAGTCTTTTTGTATTAATAACTACCTATTTCAAAATAGCATTTTGTTTCATCTTTTCTCCAGTACTCTCAACCCCAACTACAGCACTGAGTAGATTAAGATATGTAAATTATACAAGTTTCATTTTTAGTTCTATAGGTCTTGCTTTAACTTGGTCTTAACCATCCAGCAGAAAAATATAACCATGAGGTATGAAAACCAATGCCATATTAATATGCTGAACTGTAAAAGGTTCTGGTGAAAACCCACTACCATCATGGACTATTGGACTATATTTGGTTATTTTGCTGAATTCAGATACCTACAATCTTTATACTGGCTTCAAGTATGAAAATGTCTAACAGCAGTGGAACACCTATCTCTGACAAAACAAAACAAAAAAAAGGGGGACATAAATAAATGACCATTTTGTAGTGAAAAAATATATGCATATACAAAATAGGATAGACAGCTACTTTCTCTTAGTTTAATGAGAATAAATGGAAAAAATGAGAAGAAATGTTTGTATTAATATTGTTTCAATAAGATATCAAGTCTGCATCTTTTCCTTTGAATAACTACTATGAAGACAATAATATGCAATGTATTAATTATTGTAACTGTCCTACTAACCTTTTTTGAAACTGTTTCATTGCTATTTTATCTTTTTTCTCATTGAAATGAATAAAAGATAAAAACATAAAATAAATTCTCTTTCATTGCCTTTTAAAAAAGATATGTAAGTTATTCCTAGACACCTATATATCTATATGACCTATATACTACTTTTAATCTATGTACTATTACCCTATTTTCTTAATAGCTAAGAATTGGTTATAAGTTTTAATATATAGAAGATAACAAAAGATAAATAATGTATGCTTCATAACAACATTTCCACTTGTAGATATACAACCATCTGAGATATTAAACAATGTCATATATGAAAGTGTTCTTAGAAGATTTATTATATTTACATTATATATACATGTGTATATGCATATAGAATTGCACATATATTTGTATTCATAGATACAAAAATGTATACACATAAATCCAATAAATAAGCCATGTATTAGCCTAAATAAGTGAGAATTGGATTTGTTCATGACCAGAGTATCTAAAATGAAAAAGCGACTAGATCATCTCAAGAGCAGATTGGAGATTTCTGAAATGAAAAGTAAATGAATTTTAAAAGTAAAAAAAAAAAAAAAGATCCAACTGAGGAACAGAAAGAGCTATGATTATAATTAGAAATGAGCAGAAGCTCAACAATTGCTGGCATCATAGTGACTTGTCTAAAAGTCTGAACACTTTGAGTAATAGAAGGAAAGGTGCAAAAGGCAAGGATATCTTAGCCAGACAGCAGAATAGGAAATTCTACTCTTCACTAGCCACCACAGAAGGTTCAGCCAAAAACTAACCACAGACAAAAATATCTTAGTGAAAACCCAAAAAATTGAGAATGAATCATACCAAGACTGGTCATACAGAAAGAAAAAAAATCACACTGGAAGGATAAGCAAAATAGTTTCATTTTTACTATTTTGCCTGTTTGCCTCCTTCCAATTGACACAGTGCCACTGGAGCAGATCTCCCAGGCCAAATAGTTGCTACACTGGGAAAAGAAAACAAGATTCCTGGGCACTTTAAGGCACTTCCCAGGAGATCCATTCTGATCGCTCATCATGAGTAGTGTAGGCAGAAAAAACATGGTTAGATCACAGGTAGAAAGGCAGAAAGAAAACAAAGCCAGGGAGCTCACAGCACCCAAGTCTTGTTGGTAGCTGCCTTCAGTGGTACTAACAGCTAGTACACACCAAAAGCTGACTTAAAGCTGTACCTAACTTGAATTACTAGATGGCCAGCCACAAGGGCCAGCCTTGCCATGAAAAGAGAAGACTGCCACTGTGAAGTTTAATAAACAGTAAAATTTAGATATAGCCCCTCTCGTGAAGTTTGAACAGACTCCACATGCCTCAGAGACCACTCTTGGGCTCTGCCCAAGAAAATAGAACTGCCACAGTATACTTAAATAAAAAGCAAGCTGTAGTTGTATCATGTCTAGGGATTTAAACAATGTCCAGCCTAGCCTCAAAGTCATTCCAAGGTCCCATGTAGGCAGAAGCACAAACTTTAACCATACATTTCTAATGAACATTATCAGCTCAGTCCTTCCATCCTAGTGACTATACTGTACCTTGGGGTCCATTTTACCACACTGACAAGTTTGTGAACTCAAACAGAAGTACCATTTGGCCATTGAATATACCCTGTGATTCTGATTGGGGTAATTGCAATGTCTATTTAGCAAATCAGCCTGATTACAGAGCCTGGCCATTGCTTCCACCAGATCCCAGGGCCCAGCTGCCTGAGCCAACAGAAGTGCCAGCTTTCCAAAAGTAAGATCCGCTGGCCAAGGGTCATTACTACCTGAGTAGTAATCATAATCACACAAAAGGTGGATGTCTCCTTGGAAACACAGGTATAAACACAAGGATCCTAGGATTACAAATGATAAATCATGACACCTCCGAAAGTAACTAGCAAATCTCTAAGGATGGACCTTAAAGTAAGGGGCACATGTATACCATAGAAAGCATCTGTCAAGCTGAAGAATCAGTGAGGCTGAAGATGGAATATTTGAAATTAGCGATCACAGGAACAGAAAGAGTATGAACAGTAAAAAAAGTGCATCGTTGGGGGGAATACTAATGCAACTTATGGAAATCAGTGCAGTGATTTAAAAAAATAGAAATTCCATTTGACCTGATTATATCTTTTTCTACCTTAGTCAAAATTCCTGAAGTATCTTCCCAAAAGAAAATCATAATACTACAGTGATCCACACATGCCCATGTTTCTAGCAGCACAATTCATGCACTGATCTACAGAGAAATGGATAAACAATATCTGATTCATGCATAGAGTGCAAAACCACTTGACTATAAAGTAGGAAAATTTTGGGTCACGCATAGGAAAATGAATGAATCTAGAGTTCATAACGGTATGTGAAATACATCAGACAGAAAAGTTCAAATATAATGTGGTTTTTCTTAAATAAGAAATTCAAATTATAAAGGGAAAAATAAAACAGATGACTGAAAACAGCAAGATAGACTTAGAAAAGATCTGAAGAAATAGGAAGAAGAAGAGAGGGAAAATGACCAAGAAGGATATATTCCAGCTCCCCAAGAGAAATGCAATTATTATGTTGCAAACACATACTAATGATAATTTTAGAAAATAATTTTGAGAAGTGAAAAAAAGAAATGTATTTTAAAATAAAATTCTAATCTACTGTACCTGATACCTGATTATATCAATAAGTTTCCTCCCCTCTCATTGGACTTAGCCACAGGTAAGTAGAAGAGGTTCAGAAAAGAATCATAATGGAACATTGTATTTTATTGACCCTTTTTTCCAAAGTCCAGTTTCAGCTACTGAGCCCACTCTCCTTGGACAGAGCATAGGGATGAAGAATTAGAACTGAGTTACAGAATGTGTTTCTCTTGCACTGGATGATGGCTGAAGCTGACTCATTAGTCTGTGTCACTTCCAGATCAAGAATAGAGACCTCCAGACTGACTTATTACAAACCTTTATAATTTCATTAAAACATATTTTGGGGGGATGTTTCCTTTGTGGTGCTGGTCTTGTAATGCTGCAGTCCCTATTGTTATCTTTTTCCATCTCTTGAAGTCTCTCTGGCTTTCTGAAAGATGTTGAAAAACAATTGTGTGGCTTTAGATCCTATCTCTCTGCCTCTGTCTCTCTGTCTCTGACTCTATCTCTTTCTCTTTCATTTCTCTGTATCTATCTCTGTCTCTGTTTGTCTGTCTGTCTGTGTGTGTGTGTGTGTGT